CCTAATGATATTTTAATGTGATTTGCAATCCCATTGCTCTGGCCTCCTCTGGCTTTTACCAATGACACTAACAAACCATCTACCCCACGTGATGCAAGTCCAGTGACACAAGCAGCCAGAATTCATATTTGCACATAAATGAAAAGTCACAACTAGAAAGCACAGAAAGTTAGAGCTGAAAGTAACCTCTGGTGGCTTCATTGTACAGATGAGTCCACCGAGGCCGGCAGAGGTAAGTGGCAGCTTGTAATTCTGCAGCGAAAGGGGGACAAGAACTTTGTCTTGCAATGTCCTCTCGTTCCTTCCTAGATCTGTTGACATCTCTGTCTGGCTCTGACCTTTTTCAGGGTTGATGAATACCCTTTACTAACTCAACTGTTGCTTTAAGGGATTTTTTTGTGTGTTTATATATTCATTTCAGTTAGCATCTACCTCTCTGGGAAAGGAAAGGAGGGTTGACTTAGGGATGAGTATAGACACTGAAAGAAAACTATCAAACCGTGTGATCTGAATTTCTAAAATTGCAAAACGTTGGTGTCCACATCCTCCCCCCTTATGTGTAAAGGACAATGAATGTTGTGTAAATAGTAATCTATAAGAAGCATGAATTTTCATCTTTATTAACGATCTTGACATAAGCAAGAGAATGCTTAACGTGTTAAGTAGACCCAAGTTTGCTACCAAAAAGCATTGTCTTTGGAAAATTTTTATGTACCAACCTGGGGCATAAGTTGTGATGAAAAGGCAAATTGGTTTCAGTTCCAGTCATACTTAATGATCAGAAAGCTCTAAGGTATTTTCTTTAAAAATATAATAAATTTAATGTTGTACATGGCTTACAGAGCAGGTCCCTGGAAGGCTAAACTACATGCTGGTACAGCCCATGGGATCCTCTAGATCGACACTGTTTAATAGAACTTTCTGTGATGATGGAAATACTGTATAACCTGTGCTGTCCACTGCAGTAGCCACTAGCCATATTGGCTGTTAGGCAGTTAAAATGGGGTTTGTATGAGGGAGGAATTGGATTTTAAATTTTATTAAATTTTAAGTCATTTAAATAGCCCACGTGGCTAGTGTCTACCTTACTGAACAGCACAGTCTGAATGGTTTGCATGGGGATCTAGCATCAAGGTACTGATGGAGTAACAGTGAGGCTAAGCGGGGAGTTTGTGGGCTAGTAACGTGCAGTCGGCAAAAAGAAAAAAATTTCTTTCTGGCCTTAAAAAGCGTGTGATCTCAAGTATGACAGTAAAAATGTATTGATTGCCCTTTGGGATTACTTACTGATGTATTAAATACTTTGGGCCGAGGAATGATCAGAGAAGCTAAAAGAGTGCTTTATTAAGCCCCTTTTCTGGGATCATTAGCTGCATGTGAACCTATTGTCCAAAAATAGTAGTTAGAAAGTAGCTGTAAAACGTTTGACTTGCAAGCTATGCATGATCTGTTCGTGAAATTGTGTTTAGGGTCTTGTGGCCAAAAAGTAAATGTTACAGAAAAAAAAAAAAAGGCGAATGAAATCCCTATTCACTTCCGATATCGTACCCGAACGTCATTGCTGCATTAGTAAGGTGCGAAACACAAGAGCAAGCATGTTTTGCGTGGTTCAGAGTGTTTTTGTGTGCCCTTGAAGTCTGCCAGCTTGTCATTCTGTTTGGTGTGGGCATATGTGGGCGTCATTTTTCAGATGCCAGACTGAAATGGAGGTACTATTTTTAGAGCCAGATTTGACATTATTTTAGTCTCTCTTTTTTTAAAATTTTAGTTATAACTAAAAGATTTGAAGCTTTGCACAAAAGCACTTTTTTTAACAGTGAAAAACATTGCCCATGAAATTTAAATATTTGAAGGTTACTAAAGCTATTAGAATTACTTTTTAAGTGAATAAAAGGAAGCAGAAAATTCATCGTGAGACATATGTTCATGGAGAGATCAGTCTCTTGCTGATAGTCTGGTGTTTATTCCAGTGTGGATTTTGATTTGTAGAGTTCCCGTCCCTTGATTTGAAAACCTATCCTGTGTCAAAATCGGTTAGTCTGCTTTTTTGTTGTTTTCCAAGTGGAACGTAAGCCTAATGCATTTACTTCAATTTAGCAGAATTGGGGTTGATTTTTTTTTCCCCTAGAACTCATCAATGGGCAAGATTGTTCTTTTTAGCTTTAAAAATTATTTTAAAATTTTTGCCAAAATGGTAGTTTTTCTTTAGACGTAAAAGGAAGTTAGTGGCTCAAAGGTAATTGTTGTAAGAGGAGTGGTATGCAAAAGACTTCAATTTCTATCTTCCCTTAGAAAAATGATGCTACCAACCAGTCAGCATTTTGTTTCCATATGAGAAGGGTCTATCAGTCGATCTGCCATCCTTGACCTAGATGGAGAAGCTGTTTCCTGACATTTCTTCCATCATTTCTGTAACTTCTCACCCACAAGGTAGTCCTTACCAAAGCAGAAACTCTAGAGAAGAATGGGATAGCCAAGATGATTCTGTACCTGTTTTGAAAATAGTAGTCTGTTTCAAAAGCAATGATGATCAGTTGCTGGATTTTGTTCAACATGAAACATTTCTAAAAAAGTAAGTGGAAATTAAAGCCATTGATTTTTCTGACACAATTGACTTACTGCATACACACACACACACACACACACACATACACACACAATCACATGCACGATTTAGCTGTAATTGGAGTTAAAAATCAAGTAAAAAAATGTCAGTCATGTTTCAGTTTGTAGTTATACAATGTTGAATTTAGATGTTAATTTCTTAACAGTTGCTATGAGCTGCATACAGTATTTCAAACCAGCTACCTTTGGGAGTGTCTATATAAACATTTGAGAGTTTTCAAATATATGAAAAGGTGGGTTCTACTGTATACACATTATTGGAAAGCCAATAAAGTGTATGCCATTCAACCATTGAGGAACATATGCAGGTGAGGCATTTAATTTCTTCCAAATATCTTATTTTTTGGCTCTGTTCAAGTGGTCAGGGATAGTGCACGATTATTCCTGAATTCCTTCAATGTGGTTCCCATTTTTCTGCACAAGTTTCCTTGCTTAGTCGAGCCAATGATTTTTTTATTTTCAGGATTCACTGCCTGGGGTATCCCACTGTGCATATCTCACTTACGATGTAGTGGTGCTTGAAACACTCATCTCGTTAGCTGGATTTTATTATTTTCTGATCTAAGGGTTTTGATACTATTCATATTATGATATTTTTAGGGACAGTCAGTAATATTTGGGGCACAGTACTGAGGGGCCTCTTGAAGTCCGAAACAGCATGCATTTTCTTTGTTTTTGTACGGGTGTCCCCTGTAACTGTCTTTGTTCTTCTAGAACAAAATTGAGCACTACAGGATGAAGGTCTAGTAGCCCGTGTGAAAGTCTTCTGTCATCTCCCTGGGTGTTAGTTATTGGGTCATTCTAACGAGAGTTTTCCAAAGGGATGGTCAGTTTTTAATTCGGCATTTACTCTTTGAGAATCCAGAAGCAGATGGTTGAATAGGATGGTGGTGGAGGAATATAGGCTGTAGAAAGAAGGAAATAGGAACAGCAGAGGCCTTTTAAAAAGGAACAAGTTGATATCTTGGTTACCTCTGTTTTAGTGGGAGAACAGCAAGTGGGCATCATCCACGGAGAGACAGCCCGGCTATTAAGTAGACCTGTGGGAGAGGTAGAAACAAAGCCCTGGGTCTGTATCCACAGACTGGCAGATATGCCCAGAGAGTAAGGAACTACTTAATAAAGGAAGGAAAATCTGTAATGGGATTACAGCAACATAGGAGCTGAAGGTCAGTCCTGGCAGAAACCAGCTGGAGAAAGCAGCACAGGACAGCTAGGCGTAACTTAGTCAAGCAAAACCTGCTTAAGTTGAAGATATGGGGAATGTGCTCAGCTGACAAGCAGGTCCAGGGGGGCCCCATTTTTTCCACCATCCTATGCTATGATCTTGGCTTGGGTCTCTGGCGCACCGGACAATTTCAGAGCCTGCTCTAGCGTTGGTTGCCGAGTTGGCACAAACTCCAGCGTCCTCTTAACTGTGGGACGCAATGCCTTTTCTGTGTGTGGATCTTTCCTGACTTGAGTGTGTTACTACTGCTGGGAAAATACCCTGGTTGCTGTCATTTATTATTTTTTTTTATTCCACCCCT